GAACAACAGTTTGACCTGGAGCTGGGCTGCCTTGAGTCGCCGGCGTCAGCGTCGGCTGTAGCCCCTGCTGCAGTGGGCTGCTGTAAGCCACCGTGAGCCACTGTGAGCGGCTGTCCAATGGCCGGTGAGTTACTTCCTCACCTGGGAAGAGCGCAATGATAATACCAACATGGGCCAGTGAAGTGACACCCTCCACAACTAGACTCAAGAACAAAAGGACAGCAACTTGTCTGTTCCCATTCCCCGATTCCCCAACGCTGTTCCCCTCCCCCAACTCCCCAATAAAATCTTTTAAAAAAAAAAGATAACTGGGCACTGGTCACAACTCTGCAATCAACTTACATGACTACTGACTTAACCTCCATCTGTCTCAGTTTTTTAACCTGCAAAATGTGGACAACGCTATTTTCTCATCCCTGCCTCATGGGGAAAGTGATGCTATAAAAAGTTGGCATACATTGATAGAGGTAGGAGCATTTGTAAATTGAGAATGTCTAAAAAGGGAAGTATCAAAGACACAACATTAAGAAATGTGAATAGGGCCGGCCGGGTGGTACAGTTGGTTAGAGCGTGTGCTCTTAACAACAAGGTTGCTGGTTCGATTCACACATGGGATGGTGGACTGCACGTTCCCCCCACCACACACACACACAACTAAATTGAAAGCGGCAACTGGACTTAGAGCTGAGCTTGCACCCTCCACAACTAAGATTGAAGGACAACAACTTGACTTGGAGCTGATAGGTCCTGGAAAAACACAATGTTCCCTTTCCCCAATTCCCCAACACTGTTCCCTTCCCCAATTCCCCAATAAAATCTTTAAAAAAACAAAACACCCAGAAGTTTATTTTTTTTAAAAAAAAGGAAGAAATGTAAATAATGTCATAGAGTAGGAGTAACTATAGTTTGAAACTGTAGTTTGAAAAAATTTCTTACATTTTTATAAAACTGACCACCTAGTGAATAGTGCAAGGCTGCAAGTTTAACCCAAGCAGAAGGCATGGGTGCCTTGATGACAGTCCTTTCTATCTCTGTCCAGCAGGAACAATTATGTCTCAACAGACAGTTATGTTTCAGACCTGTTGAGAATAGGGCCCCCAAACGAGATAATAGATTTATTCACATTCCTAGTAGGTCATATGCATCAGGCCTGAAGAAAGGCCCCTCGAACCTCAACACGCTTTGGCAGTAGTCCTAAGTGCATGTATTATAACAGCCTCCACTCAGTATAATCTCCAGTCTCTGTCTGCATTGACAGGCTTCCAATAAATGAGAGGAAAATGCCTTTGAATGCAGGTCTGGCCCAAAAGGTAGACTCTCTGAGATAATTTTGCTTGTGAAATTATGATATAATAAACAAGTTCCATGCAACACTTCCCTTGCTATCACCTGCGCCAAATCCCTGTCTCATTAGATTGATGGATGTCCAGTGGCACATAAAATGCACAGCAGTCTATATAAGGATATTGAATGAAACCCAAATCCATAACTCAGGAGGAAAAGAATGAAGTCCAAGTGGGGACTTTGTACACAGCTGGCATCTGACCAACTCCACAACTCGGCAAGGCAATGTTTTTTAAGACCACAGCATTGCAGTCCCAGAACTCAGGTGAGAGGCTGTCACCAGGCACTTAAGTTGCATGGCCATAGTCAGCCAGCTCGGCAGTGCTTGCACTAAGGGGGAAAGGCATTGGGTAGATCACTATCTAGTCCAGGCCATAAAGGGGAGAGACATAATGGGGTGTTGGTTTGGTATCTTTCACAGACCTCAAGTGAAGCAGTACTTACACTCATTAAGGGAGGTGGGCATAGTCTCAGAAATCCTGGTGAGCTAGACCCTTTTCTGTCCAGTTTAATACCAGCTCAGTTCTAAAACATGTATTTGCTATTCTGAATATGGAGGAATTTACAGAGTCCACAGAGGCAAAGAGTCCCAGGCAGACCATTTGCACAAATGACCTTTCAAAGGCAGAGGTTTGATGAGCCTGACCACAATACAGGGACTGGGGGCAGAGGGTGTGGGGATTTCAGTCCAGGTGAATATGACTTTTCTGTATATTATCCAAATTGAAGCTGAGTCAAAAGAGAAGCCTGAGGTCCCCTGGGTTGCCGAGACGTGCAGGTCAACAGGCCAGGCTTTCTATCTGAGGACAAGAGACCTCCTGAAACCTTCATCCCAACCCAAAACTTTCTTATAGATCTGGAAACATTTTCCTCAGGGTCATCCTCTGCATTTCCACAACACCCTGCACTCAGGTCTGTCATAATAAGTCCTAAACTTATTGTCTCATTGTTTCTGTGGCTGGCTTCTCTACCATGGTGGTGTCCTGGGAGGCTAGCACTCCTTAATCTTCAGCACCTAAAAGTGTGGCCAGCACCTCACTGGGACTCTCAGACTGTTCTTTGGAAAGATGTAATGGCTGGATGGCTGAATGGATGGGTGGGTAGATGATTTACTAATTCTAGTTGCTATCGCCTCTTCTCCTAGAAGCAGAAATATTAACAGAAATCCTGTTTTCAGAATGCTTTTAGACACATCAGAAGCAGGAATTTATAAACCAGGATGTTCCTGTGAAGAGTCCTGTTTTGCACATCCAAAGAGGTTTCGGTAGTTCACAGGAGGCTCCAAACTTTGGATGTCAAATGTAAAGGAAACCTATCGAGGTTCAACTACAGCTTGTTCATACAGCCCTAAAGCCCGCTCTGATTCTCCCCAAATCCTTGCATGTTTTGCTGCTGCTAGGAAGATTTTAGGAGAAGCCGCACTAAAAGACTATGACACTTTTTTTCTTTCTAATCATACTAGGAAGTACTGATTTACTCTTGGAGAGACTAGGCAATGCTCCAAGCTCGCCCACTCCTGTGGATCTATAAAGTGCAGATGGCAGAGCGGGAGTGAAGATGAGAAGAAAATTTTAAAGGGAGAGGAGGAATGACAACAACAACGATCATGTTAAACTGGAGGGCTCCCTTCTGTCCCTCTGGCTGAGAAATCACTCAAGATCCTCATCCACTAAGCAGTTGTTCAGAACAGGGACTTGTGTTCACACCCCAGGGAAGGACTTTGTAAACCACAGTGTAGCAAATGCAGGGTTTCAGCTCCTGGTCTGATGAATGTGCCTGCTAAAATTACCTTGATCTCCATTACCCAGCTGAGAGAGGTCAAAAGAGTAAGGCATCTGAATGTGTCCGCCCCCCGGGGCTTAAAAGCCTGCCTGTCAATCTAAACTAAACAAATTCTGCTTTGCCATAAAGAAGAGGAAAAGCCTTTACCTCTGGAGGTGCAGCCATTGGCTGGGTCAATTTCCTTCCCATCAACTTTAAATGCCCAGCGGCCTGGAACATTGACGTTTGTGGTCTCCTGGATATTCACAATATCAGGGGTTCTTGACCCAGGGAGGCTGAAGAAATTCGTGAGGTTTCCACCATTAAATCCTGCCTAGAGCACAGAAGGAAAACAGGACCTTTGAACACAAACACCACCCACATTGGTTAACTTGCCCCAATACCTTATTTTCAGAATTTAGTAGACCTGAAATCAAGAGAGCCCTCGAACTATAGCCCCTGGGCCACCATTTCAGGTGGGAAAGGTCTGCCTAGTTCATGCCACACCCAGATCAAGGTATCAAAGATAGACAGGACTATCTCTGTCCACCTGAAAGATCAGACCCACTTCTTTAGTTAAAGACTGTGGGTAGGACTCCCTCTAGGATGCTGAGAAGCATAAGCAGAAAGTGCAGTGCTTTAGAACATGCAGAGGATGAAATGGAGAAGCACCTACCTGTGCCATTACTCCTCCCAGACCCGTCAGGGGATCACCGCCACTCGCTGTCCCAGTGGTCCAGTTGATTTCATAATAATTGAAGAGCGTGAATGTATAGGAGCCATCAGACACTAGGACGGCCTGGAAGGTGTTCACCTACAGGATGGGAAGATGGGCTCATGACTCACACTCTCCAGGAGCCCCTCTCCCCAATTGCAGCTCCCTTTATTCTGCACCCTCCCTGCCCCCAAGCAGCTCAGAGCTGCTCCCTGCCAGCCCTCACATTCTGCCTCCTCCCTGAATTTGTTCTTGCCTCCAGCGGGAAAAGCAAGACATGTGGGATCATGCACCTAAAAGGGAAATTGCCTGGGGATAACCTAGAGGCTGACTCAGCGCCCCTCCTACAGCTCTGATTTGCACCAGACAGAAAAATGCAGAGGCCTGGCTCAGCTTGTGATGATACATGAGCACCTATAGATGGCAGCATGAGAATAAACTATAGGAAATCCTTAAGGCCAGGAAAGGGCTGCAAGCACCTCTTCCCACAGCACATTGAGTGGGGCTGGCGAGGCGAAGGGAAGAGCCAGCCAGTGCTAGTCAGTGAGACTAACGAGGTGGCACGGACTGTGCTCTTTCACTTCCCAGAAAACACGGGTAATCTGGGTGAGATGTCTCACCCTTTTTAAAATGGCAGTTGGAAAGTGATTTTTATAAAGCACTTTGTGGGGAGAAATTGCTCCTCTAATTATACACTACTTTATCTCTGCAAAATTCTCAACATTCGTCTGTGCCTCGGAACAATGCTAAGACAGGTAATTTGGGGGGCCATGTCCATCTCATGGTTTAAAAAAACTGAGAGCTAAGGGAAATAAATTCCTGGAAATTTCACAATGACCCAGCAACAGAAAATGGGATTCAAGCCAGAGCTCCCAGTCTTTCTGTTAGCACCCCGTCATTACACACTGTCTTAATGTTAAACTTCTCAGGACAGAGTGTTATATAAATTCAAACAAGCCTGGCAAACAGTTTCTGGTAACAAGCTGTAGCAAATGTCATCCTTTACTATTTCCCTTTGCTAATTCCTTGCCCCTTGATGTGTATTTTCAGGAAATTAAAATAAAAATAGAGTTAAAAAGAGAGGCTGCTTTGACCTTTTCCTTTCAAACCTAGCACTTTCCTCAGCTGCCTGATACTATCCCCATTAACATTCTGTCAGGCTCAGAGGAAGACCCAAATCCTTATCCTGTGTAATCAAGCTGGGGTAGAGGATCTTGGAAGCCTCAAATCTCCCATCCTAGATGGTCCCAGGGAGGGAGACAAGGTGCACGTAAAGAAAAGCCCTTTTTTAAAACAAGAACTCTCTCCTCAGGCTCTGTGCTTGCCACAGCTGATGGTGTCTATGATAGGGTCGCCCAGGTATATGCCTCCATTCTTTGGCCCTGCTCAACAGAAGAGAGAAGTAGGACACAGAGATGAGTGAGCAGTCGGCTCAAGATTGCTATAAGGTCACTGTAGGGTCTGGTTCAAGAGACAGACACAAAGTCAAAGCCATGCAAGGACTAAAGCCAAACCCTCCTTTAGACCTGGGTTCTCCTTCAGGAACTGAATTCCTTCTTCAGAAATGAACTTGGAAATATCTCTGCTCCAAGCAGGTCTTGAGAGCAATCCATTTCTGATCCTAGAATCTCCTCAAAACCAACCAATCATCCTAACAACACTCCTGAGTCTCACTTGCACTCATGGACATCCTTGCTTGCTCTTACACACCCCTACTCGCACATTATCTCTTCAATGTTAGTTTTAAGCCTCCTCCAGATCTGTTTTGTAAAACCATGTTTTCAGTTCTTGAAAAACCCTCTTGTACTCCAGAGGACCTCTAATGATACCTGGAGAGGGCAGCTAAGGGTTCAGGATTCAGTTAGGAGACCAGTTTGAACCCTGCTCTGCCTTCTCTGAGGTTCAAACCTCTTCTCTTGACACTTGGGCAAGTCACTTAACCTCTCTGGGTCTGTTCCCTCACCTTTTAAATGGAGAGAGTGCTTATTGTGGAACACTCTTGTAAGAGTTACATGATATACAAAAATAGCCTATCACAGAGCTGGGCTCATAGTAAGCCATCAGTAAATATTAGTTTTCCTTCCTTAAAGTAAGCATGTCCCCTTCCCTTTCCCTTTCTACTGGGCTTGCATGAGACCTGCCTTTTAAAGACCTTTCTCACCCAGTGTTTAGCTGGCCTGATGATATGAGTTCCTATACAGAAGAGGAAACCTGGGGAGATGAAAGAGGGGGCCAATTTCAAAGATACGGATGGATGGACACTCCTGCAGTTCTGGAGGATTGTATCATCTTTTTTCACCAAGAAGCTCAAAACATTTAGAGGTTATCTTATTCATCCTCCTTGAAAGAGTTTTCACCTAGTCCAGAAATTTACTTCAAAGTGCAAACCAGAAAGTATCTAACTTATCTTGCCTATTTTATTGCCAATGGAAGTTTTGTTTGTTTGTTTGTTTTTGAAAAACTGGCCATCAGCATTTGATGGGCATTTCTTTTCCTTTTTTCCCCACTGACACTAACATTTATCGATCACTGGCGTCTTATATTCTAGCGCTGTAAGGTATGAGGTTTAAAGAACATAAAATATCACCCGAGGAGCTGTTAGCAATCCATAACATGACAGAGGAAAATGTATGCTTCTTTAGAGGTTATTTCTAGCTGTGCATCCACTGTTTAAGCCATGTCTTTCCGCTCTCCAGAACCTCTCAGGATAAAGTGTATCTTGGTGGTCTGGTCAAAAGGTGCTAAAACACAACGTGCTCACTGCACGGTGGCTATGAATTGCTAGCCCAACACTTTCCCATCTCTGTCTCTAACTCAATAACTTCTGTTCCACCTCCAAACAGCTGACTCACTGCCACAGAAATTGGAAAACAGATGGAATTGGAAACACTCCTAAGAAAGCAGAGGGTAGATTTTTTTTAGTATCTTTGCTTCCTGGAAATTATACAGATGATGGCGTGTCTGCTACTTCAAAATTCTCCACTGCCAAAGTCACCCAAATAAGCTGCAGGCTTTCCTGAAAAGTGTGTTCTGCCCCTTCATGTAAAAAGTTGGTTATCGCTACTATAATGCCAGTGATAAGCTTTCTTATTTGATGTTTATTTGACTGCTCATTTGGGATTTCAGAGCAGATGTTAAAACTTTATTCATGAGATGCTTTAACTGCCCACTCCAATTAGCATCGAATATATATGCCAGCCCCCCGTGACATGAAAAAAAAAAAGGTTATAATATATTACAGTGGGTCAGGTCATTTGTGCCCAGAACTAGCACCCTATTTTTCTCGTCCTAGCAGGTTTTATGAAGAAAGGAAAAACAGGAAATTTGCTGATGGAGAGAGGCATTTGTGCCTCTGGCAAGAAAAAAGAACCTTTGGGCTCCTAACGGTTCCATAATCATATGGCCTAGATCAGGTCTCAGTGCCTCAATCACCATCCTGCAAAATAGAGATGCTACCTACTGCAAGGAAATTGTGGCAGGGTTCTTTTTACACATTTGTAATGATTCAGGATAGGAATGACACATCCTCTGAAATATTACAGCAGACTGGATTGATTAGGTATGATAACTTCCCCCGTTTCCTGGAAAGCGGGTGGCAAGACTCATTAGTATAACTCAAGGAAACGGACATTCCTCAGCTCTGACAATTACACCCCTTCACAGTAGTGAAGATGGACAAGAATTAGACGTCAGGATATGAAGTGGAAAACGGAAAATTTGAATTATTACAGGTGTGGTGCTGCTCCCTCCATAAAACGTGACTTCCTCCCATGTCACAATGAAAACCCAAGTGGCAGAGAAGGTTGCCATGTCTTTGAAGTACTTCCTGATGTCCTTGGTGGCTCTTTTCAAGATGACAGGGTCCATGGTCTCTCTGTAATAGATCTCGCCTCGAATGCCATTGTGCACATCTGCCCAAAATGGGGCAATGAAGGCCCTCCCATCCGTCAAGGGAAAGGATTCCGGCGTGAACTGGCTCACTAGTACATTGAAGGAGACAACTCCATTGTTATTGACCTGCAAATATAAAAAAGGTTTTGCACAGTGGATCTGAAACCACGACAACTTCAGAGTCTTAAAGCAAGACAGATGCTCGCTTAATCAAAAGAATATAAACAACTTTTAAACCACTGAATTAGAACTCCCAAACATTGATCAACAAAGAGGTTTGTTTACTTCCAGACAAACTCATTGGTTTTCTTTCACTTTCAATTTGTAGAATGCTGCATTTCTTATTAATAATCCATCTCATTTTCATGGTCGCTATCCTATCTCTATTTACATTTATCTCATGCTACCCAGTTGTGTGTGTGTGTGTGTGTGTGTGTGTGTGTGTGTGTGTGTGTGTCGGGCCAGACAGGGGGTAATGCGGGCAATAAAGAAGATCCAGAGTCAAAGATATAAAACAGACAGGAAAAAAAACAAACCCACAAAAAGCATGAAAGCAGAAAGTTAAATCTAAAAATTGAGGCGCTCTATATTAGACCTTGATTCCTATTATAAGACAAGAGATGAGCATCAGAAAAAGAAAAATCAAATACTTCATCTTCAAACTCAGATCTCAGGATAAGCTATACCCTGCTCCAGATGAAACATTTAAAGGACTTTTACTGACGTCACAACCACTCCGACTATGTTATGGTGATTTCTTCAAGATTTGCAAATGGCTTAGCAAACTCGTTAAATTACTAAACCTTCCTGCAAATAACAAGCTATTATGTATACTCAGTTGACACAGGACCTATAAACAATTTGCTTCTGCCTGCATCTGCAGCTCTCTATATACATTGTTTGCTTTGTTCCTATCAATTAGTAATATTATGGACATTAACAGCCCCAGATCCCAGAGGTAAGTTATCAGTACCGGACTCAACATTTGTCAATTTGTTTTGGAAGCAAGGGTATGGAGTTTGGGAAGGAAGCTGGAAAGCCAGCTACAAGGACATTAAGAGTCTGTTGTCTGCAAGTAATAGTGGCAAGCCAGAGGCTTGAAAAAGACTGCACTAACTCAAAATGCTGGAAACTCTTGGGAGCAATTTGCCCTCAAATAACTCTGCCCCAAATTAAGGTCCCTCCTTTTGCAAGGACAAGAATTATTCAGACTCCATGTCACATAGCACAATAGAAGAGAAAGAGGAGCTTAACTAAATACATTTGTTCTAGTTGTCTATAAGACTAAGGCTTCCAGAATGAAAGTCCTGTATGTCTCTCTCATCTCCAAAATTAGGTCAATGCATTCTGAAATTTACAATCAACTATGACGGACTAAGAAGCTCTACTGTGAGTAGAGAATAAAAGGCATATCAGGGTGCCAAAGCAATGTGTTTTCTAGGGAATAATGGGTGTAATTAAAACACACAGATAGATGAGCAGAGAAAGCTGGTGATGACTCAGTTGTGTTTTGATTGTATTCTATAGTTAGAATCAGTCATTCTCAAACTTCGTGGATATCAGAATCACTTGGAGGGCTACTTAAAACACAGGTTACTGGGTTTCCCTCCAAGAGTTTCTGATTCAGTAGGTCTGAGGTGGGACCTGAGAAGTGGCATTTCTAACAAGTGCCCAGGTGATTCTGATGCTATAGGTTCAAGAACCACTGGTTAGGTAATGAAAGAGGGAACTATTTTCTAGTGTGAGTCAGCCCAGAGCTATAAATCAACAGTTGGGGAAGACAGAGGTCCCAGATTCCCAGGTGGCCAGAGGTATAGGTGTTTGGAGTTTCGTTTCTTCCTCCAGGGCAGGCAGGACACAGAATAGAATAGGATGTGATATAATCTACATATGCTGCACACAATCTTGTAAGGTCAAAGATAAAAACAGGTTCGGTTGCTCTGAACCTTCTCAGTGTGCAACAGTCTCACTAGCAGCAAACCCAATGATCCAAAAATAACAGTAATAACTTGATAATGCAGGTGCCTAGGAGAGTTGTGACAGCAAATGGTACCATTTTTTAATGCAGGTATGACAATGGGACCCTATGGAATGTCTCAGACCCAATGAGGTGGCCAATTCTGCAAACAACTTTTATATAGTAGTGGATTACCCCTCTACTGTGCTTTGGCTGCTTCAAATTGGTAGGAAGCCTAAGAACAGATGCCTAAACTTTTTATACCCCCATAGGGGAAGGAAAAATGATATCGCTCTTATTGTGGTTCATTATATCTTTTTAATCTTGTTGAGTAGCAGAAATAATGTTCACGGCACTGGGGCCTCTGTTTCACTTCTGTGTCTAATCATCCACAAAAGCAATGTATTGCCCTGTACGCCCCTTTACAATGAACATTAGCCATTAAATACACCTTTGACTTTCTTAACCATAAACCTATCAGTTCATGGTATCTCAGAACCTGTCATTTGGGCTGCCAATAAATCCTCCATTCCTGGAGCCCTGGAAGAAGGTATTTTACATGTTTCCCTTAATGACAAACCAAGGGGAAAGCCACAAAGCAACAGCCAGGCTGCTTTTCCACTTACATAGACAGTGCGGTAAGGAACGCCAAAGAAGAAAATGGGGATGGCCAATTTAATCTCAGATGAGCTTCCGTCGTCTACTTTGGGGGTTTTGGTGTCATTCTGCCAAAATGGATACATAAGCTCCCTGGGCTGAACTGTCAAGAGAGATGGTGATTAGATAGATGACAGATTCCTCTTCCGTTAGGCAAGCTACTTCCCTCCCACCCACTAAAGCCAGCTTCTTTCAGTAAGTCTTGCAAGCTACTTGCAAGTCGGACTCCCTTTTCATTTATCCTAAACCTAAGCTGTACACAGTGCATGATCTTCTGCCTGTGGAAGGGAGAGAATGGAAGTCATGCCATTTCTACTTAGGAGAAATCACTTCATGCTTCATTTCTAAGCTTCCCTACATGTTGGAGAGCGCAATCATTATAACTGCCTGGAAGTTGCAAAATCAACCCTGCCTGGAGCTCTCAGAGCTTTAAGAGGTGGCCTATAGGTCTGGCAATGGATTAGATGGCTTGATCCTTGATCAGAAGGCAAGGGGTAGAGAAGGTGGCTTGTGGCTATGAAGCGCCCTTCTAGCTCAAGAATTCTACTATCATGTCTTTTCCTGAAAGGAGTCCACTCCCTCTTGCTGCGTAATAGGAGAAGATACCAGATCCCAGAAGGAAAGAAACAACAGTTGGAAATGGGACAAAAAAAGTGGGAGGAGAGGGTTTGTAGTAACTAGCCTGTGAATGAGCTTGATTGAGTTCCAGTCCTGTGAGAGGGCTCTCTGCCCAGTCTTGTTTACAAAAGACAGCATGGAATCCTCTGGGGCGAGGGAGGTTGGGCCCTTGAGAACTCGGAAGAGGAGGCTCAGGACTCGTACTCATCATCCTGATCAAAGGTGGGAGTCCATACACACATAAATAACTGTGTCGCCACCTCTCCAGGCAACCTGGTTTATTTCTCCGCCAAACTCTTGCAAGGGGTGTCCCAGTTTAGCAAGAGAAATTAGACAATTTCCCAAGGGTCTACATAATTGCTGATCAGGTCCAATGGTATCTATAAAATAATCTACATTTGAGGTGTAACTTTTTGCTGCCTCTGTCCTCTAGAACTTCTCTTGAATGAAAATAGAACAACAGAACATTATCTTTTCTTTCTTTTTAAAAACTGGTTTGTTAGTTTTCAGGAGCAGTGGCAAAACCATTTGGGGCTTCTGCCCACAGCTCTGGCTTGCCGAAATCCAGGTGCTAATACCCCATTCTCAGGTCAGCGGCCCTCTCCTTAGGAAAGCCCCTGCTCTGTGTGATGGAGCTGACAGGCTGCTGGGCACCTACCCTGCTCCTTTGGGAGCCTTTTAGTGAGAGATAACAGCTCATGTAAGAGAGTGCAGAGTAACCAGAAAGCACAGCAGCGCCAGGCCAAGTGCCAGCCTCTCTCCTTCTGGAGCAAGGAACAAGAGGTGATCTGCCTGGACACAGAGCTAATCTGTTTGCAAGGAGTAACATCGGAGGGAAGCAGGGAAAAGTAGCCCCGTCATTACTGTACGAGCATTGTTCCCCAAGCCCCAGAGGTCTCTGGGAAGCCAACCAAATTTGAGCCTTTAGGAGGTGCTGTAGCTAGTTTAATCACAGGAGCACTCAGCCGACTGCTTTATTTAATGTCACAATCAGTAGGCAAAAAGGGCTTCTCTGACATTTGTGTTTACACAGAAGTAACAAATTCCAAATTCCTAAAAGGTAGGCATTTTTTTTAAAAAATCCCTTTATAATCCCCATCGTAGAATTATACACAGGTACTTATTGAATTTGAAAAGTGATGAACTTTCTCAAATTAATAATAATAAATCAAATCATGGATTTATCCTTCTTGGGGAACTATTTAGGAGTGATACCCAGGTGTGAATAAGGGCTCATATTCATAATGAATTATCATCATTTTAATGAAAAGATTAATTGGTATTTTGGGCAGTGTTGGCTAATCTGCCTAAGAAATGAAAAATCCATACCACTCATAGAGGACACAGAAAACTACGGTCGTGAAGACTATCCCTAACTTCCCTCTCTACTCTAACAGTGAGGCAAATTTGCAAGATTTTTCTCTTCATGAGTGATCTTAACTAGTTCACAATTTTGAACAGTAAAGAATGGACAGTTAAAACTTTTCAATTTTAAGAAGAATACAAATAATAAAGATATTTAATATTGTAAATACTTAATAATTGTTGAATGGGAAAAAAAGGTGCTTAATAAAAGGGAGTAGGTTAAAACTACAATAATTTCCACCTTGGAAGCCATTAACATTATAAAAATATAACTCATTAACAGCATGACCTAGTCAACACCAGCAGAGTTAAAAAAAGAAAGAATACCCATACCCATGCTAGCTTTAGGCTGGGAATTTCACAGTAAACATAACTGTGCTCCCAGGTCTTTGTTTTTGTATTGTTTTGTTTTGTTTTGTTTTTTCAGCAAATAAAACTTACTTTCTTAGAGCAGGAATAGGAGATTGGAGCCAATGGGACTCTTGATTACTGTGGGGTTTCACACTATAGACTATATGCTACACTGTTTAAATTTACCCAACCCTAGAAAAATGTTAGGGCTACATATGCCTTATAGATCTGTTCACTCAGGACTTATAATCATATGCCAGGTGAACTAGACAAATAAATAAACAAAATGAAGGATGCTTTAGAATTAGTCATAAAATTTTCAAATCTATGTAGACTTTTCTACCTTTCTTTTCTAAAATCCAAAAACAGTAGAAAGTAGTGTATATGGCTTCTCACCTACCCCGGGGAATGCTACCCAGAGAAAAAGAAGGAACTGTTGAAGGGAATCATTTTATTTTACTTGCAGTTTTAAGTTTTGGGCCATTATAAAAGGCCACTGACTCAAAAGTCACCAATATCAATGCCATTGGAACTTCTTACTTTTGGCTAAAACAAATATATTCTTTAAAGTCTGTGCCACAAGTTAAATGCCTTAATGGGAATTAATCATCAGGTATGGCTGTACACATACCTACTCCATATGCTTTTAATGAAAATAATTTGCATTGTCTTAAAGACCCACTCCATTAACATGGGGCAACTGGTGTATACAAACAGCAACCACAGTTAAATAAGAAAAAATAGGACTGTAAATAAACATTATTCAAGGTTAATACATTTTGTCCTTGACAACAAAATTTAATTTACATTTTTCTTGCTGTATCTGTAGACACATGTACACCTGCCCTGACAATTATGGTTGCAACAAAAGTGTCTCTTTATAAATTCAACAGCATGCTAATCAAGAGCTTTATGGAATTCTGTAGTACTCACCTTGATGCCGTACAAGTGCGAAGATGAAAGAGACCCAAATTCTAAGTAATGATGAATAATTCATCCTGGAATTTTAAAAAGAAAAAGAAAAAAAAAATCCCCAGATTGCCAGAGTAAATAGAACACCAGGTGTGTTTGGTGGCAAATCCCAAGACATCACAACCATCATAGAACAAATTCACATAACAACATCAACAGTTCTGAGTCAGGTTGAAATTCCTTGAATGCTGTCAGGTCCTCCTAAGTTCAACGCTTTCTGAATAAGTTAGACTCTGGCATGAGAAGCCAGTTTGGAAGTATCATGAGATCATTCATAGTATCAGGAAATTATATAGAATCAATGAGAGCCACAATGAGTAAAGGAAAGGCATCTAGTCTGCAGCTATTAAAGTACTGAAAACTAGGACCGGGCTCTAAAGATGCAGGTCCTCTGTTGTGTCTCTAGGACAGAAACTCATCCTCTGTGAGACCTGACTCTCCTGATTTTCACAACAGCTTTCAATCGGGTTCAAGTAAAAGTCAATTAAAACACAATGCGTTTCTACTGGTAGGAAAATTTAGAGTTTGCCATCACCTTCTCTATAGTATGGAGCCAATCCACGGTTTTGAAGTGCTGACCAGATTCACCCGTAGTATGAGACTGTCCACTGACTTTCCATAGTGAAATGAATGATAGGTACATTAGTAATAAAGAAGAACCATGCCGGGTTACTCCTTGGAATTACAATATAAATAGAACCTAACACACAAGCAAGTAATTAGTTCCAGCAACTTAAAGAACATCACAGAAGTGAACTTGTTTTCATTTTAGTACTATCAGTTGAACTGGCTGCTTTACTGTTAGCAACATGAACAGTCAATGCTGTTCCGTAAAGCTGAGATGCAAACACATATGCGAGCTCCAAGTTATACATACACTTGCATAGAACTAAGTGCATGGATAGACGGTGAAGTTTGCTTCTGACAGTATTCTTACACACAAAAATCCTCCTCTTATTAGTTGAAGCTATCCTAATTCTTCAGCCAAAATTTCATGGAAAAATTAGTGAACCTACCCTATGAGAGTTTTATTGTAAATCTTCAATGGTCAAGCATACACACTGAAACTCAAGCACATAATAAATATTAGTCAGCTTTGCTGAAATTGGTGCTAAGACTTTTGCAGAGATCACACAGCTTTAGCAGAGGTAGATGCTGTGTGCGTTTAAGACTTGAGCCCATAGGGAAACAGTTCAGAGAGCAGTAAGGAGGATTCATTTAAATATATGTATTTATGAAAAATGTCACTAACCTGTTCTGTAGAGACTGGAGGAATTGAGTCAGAAATATTAAGCCAAATCTTGGTAAACCAGGAAAAAATTAGGCAAAACAAGAATTCATGTCAGTTCTCCCCCACTTGCTGCCAATTATTTCTGATTCCTGAAATGATGTCTGAATCCCCTACTCTTAAAACCAAAAATTCAGTTAGTCCTGCGCTAGAGTCAGATAAGTGTTGAGTTGCAATCAAGTTTTTTTCTATTGATTAAGGAAAAGTAAATCTAAAGATCAGTTTCAGGATTGCGTAGAGAGGTTCTTTTCCTGAAAAACTAGACCTTTTTTTCCCCCCCTTAAAAAAAAAAAAAGTAGATTCAGATGGAAATGTCAGGTACTTGGAGCTGAAACCTTGAGCTTTTCTGATCGGAATCGCTTTGCACTGAAAAACACAAAAGAAAACCCCCCTTCTACCTTTGTACCCAAAAAAAAGGCAACTGTATAATGTTACAGAATTAGCATCCACTAGCATGGGATTAAAACTCCAAACAAAGCTGCTGCCTCCAACATTTAAATGAAGTTGGTTTTCTACTAAAGCCTTTTTTTGTTTCTCTGGTTTTGAACAGTTGCCACAGATAGGCTCTACTCTGTTTTTTCACAGGTGTGCATGAAGTATTTAAAGAAACTTTCTCAAACTTTTCTAGGTTTTATTCCTCCCCTTTCCTCTCTGATCCACCGCTGTGCAGCGTGATAGTCCTGGGCACTTTCTAGCAAAACTGAAGGAGGTAACCAGGGCGGGGCATGATCTTTCACAAGGGAAAAACCAAACCCCACTCTGGAAACTTCCATGGATGCCCAGTGAGGGTCCTCAGAGGGAGAGGAGGGAGATAGCCCCCTTCTGACAAAAATTTGCAGTAAGTAAATAATTTAAAAGGTATTATAAACAGGGGAAAAACATGTTAAGTTGGATGAGGAATGACTAATGCATAAAACTAAGTTTACTATTCAAAATATTTAGGGTGAAACTTGTTAAACAATAATTTCAATTTTACAGAGTTACTCTGTAAATCAATGGGAAATTTAAAATTATTCCAAATTTGTCTCTGAGCAGAGATTTAAATGCTGACTATACAAAAAAAAACCAAACATAGTTCCAGCAAGGTGCCCTAAAATGGACAAGTGTGTTTGGGGAACTAATTTTTTAGCCTAAGTTATTTAATATTTTTTCCAAAACCTGTGATAATTTAGTACATTTTGCACATTAAGCATACTTTTTCACTAGTATTATGAATCCTCCATATATATTTACTTACAGATATTGAATGACTATTTTCCTCCAAAAGACACATATTTATGTGACAGAAAATCTTATTTTTTTGAGTGCCTAATCAAAATAAAATTAAACCCAGGCTCACCTAGAAAAGCATTCTCCTTACCCAATCTTTATTAAGGTTTTAGTCCAGTACTCAGTCTAAATGTCTTGAAGCAAAATAGTTGGCTCTATTTAAAAAACTGCTAGTGGCATAATAATTGCTTTGGTCTTCTTTCTTCGTGCACTCAAGGGTATTTATATCTCAGCCCTTTGGCCCATATTAAATGCTTTGTCCTTGATGCAGGACTGCTACTGAGATGAATGCCATCTGGGCATAACCAGATACACAAGATGGCGGCGTAAATTAATCAGAATGAACTTGAGAATCCGGGTACGAGGAGTGCCAGGTACCTGGGGACAGACTGGTTTGATTTATCACTGGCTGGGCTGGGAAGCCAATCAGTGAGTGTGTATTCCGGGTGTGTCCTCAATGATTACAGATGGAGAAATGACCAAAATCTTTCATTGTTTGCTGTCTTTTTATCTTATTTTTTATAGTTTTAAAATTTATTTTTCAGTTATAGTTGACAAGCAATATTATATTAGTTTCAGGTGTACAACATGTGATTAGACATTTATATAATCTGTGAAATGATCACTGGGTAAGTCTAGGACCCATCTGGCACCATACACAGTTATTACAATATTATTGACTCTATTACTTATACTGCACTTTACATCTCATGACTGTTTTTATATATACCAATCTGTGCTTCTTAATCCCTTCACCTATTCCCGCACCCCCAACCACTCTCCCATCTGGTAACCATCAGTTTATTCTTTGTATCTATGAGTTTGGACAAAACTCTCCCTTTATGCTATATTGGCAGGAGGACTTATTTTGTTGAAGATGTAAACTGAGCAAAGATTTCTGACAAGATTTAGAACAGAGGTGATGTGAAGGTGACTGGGAGCTAATAACCCAAGATATTTCTGCATTATAAAGATGGCGCAGACCGAGGCTGCTTTTAAGGCAGGAGGAAAGATACCTGAAACAAAACAAACAAAAATTATATTATTCCCTAGAAACAAGTAGAATGGGCCTTATATGCTGATTGGTTTGAGCTCATTTGAAACAATGCAGTGAGAAGTGTGGCTGGCCAACAGCCTCCAGCTGTTGCAAGGTGGGAGGGGACAATGGCCTAACACTTTCCACCCAAAGCAGGACCCCTCTAATGGGTAGTTATTGCTCTGGAAAGCTTAGTTGAGCTGACAAAAACTGTCAAGTGCTCAACTGAGGCAGCTGTATTATGACAAAATCAGGGCCTAGTTAGGAAATCCTTATATACATATCTATAATGTATTATGTACATAATTTTATATATCTGGGATTTATTACATATATACACATGTACATACATGTGTGTATGTGTGTGTGTGACAGAGGAGGGAGAGAGAGAAAGAGAGAGAGAGAGGGAGGGGGGGGAAGAGAGAGAGAGAGAGAGAGAGAGAGAGAGAGAAGAGAAAGGGAAAGAGAGAATGAGAATCACCTGAGTAGTTGTCCCCAAAGATTTTGACTATAGATTTCTGAAGACTTCTAAGCCCTCAGATATGCCCCACTCCACCTCATTAAGAACTAAAATTTCTCCCAGCAAAGGAAGACAAGAGAGAGGACTTTCCCCCCATAGGCAACAGTTTACCCCCATCCAACCCCCTTCAGAAGCTGCTCCCATCTCGTCTCCCAACTGCTAGGCTTATAACCAGAGTTATGATGCAGCATAACCCAGGCCAGGGATATGCTGGGGCTCATTGAGGGAGGAAAGGGGCTATACCCAAAGGATCTGCAAGGCCTCGCCAGCACACACTGGCACAGAAATGGGGGAGGGAGTATGCCTGGGACTGAATCGTGAGGCTGCTCAATCAAGGAGAACGGGCCATAACACAGACAACAGGAAGGTTTATTGACTTGGGGCACTCTCTAGGGATACAGCTTTTAATTGGCAAAGACCCCAGGGGATGGTGCTAGAGCAGCTCCTAAAAGCCTGGAAAAAAGTGATGGCCCACATGGAGTGAGGTTGAAAACGCCTGAATCACTGACAGATGGCATAAGAGGGGATATAAAAAAGGCTGAGGGAAGTGAACATGCGGGAACAGTCTGGAAGACCCACCTGGTGATCATGTTCGTGGGAAGGCCTATATCATCCATCAAAGTCAGCAGGAATATGTTGGTCAGAGAAGCACCAACAACACAGAGAAGATTCGTCGGGGCTCCCCTCTGCAGGCCAGCACTGATGGCAGGAGCATGATCACAGGACTTGACTGTCTGATAGCAACGGACATGTGATGGGTGCCTGAAGCAGTGGGGACCAGGTGGCAGCACTCTACAACTGCATGAAGCCAGGAGTCATAATCTTCATAATGACCGACAGATGAGAGTGGTAGCCAGGGGGGCCTGATCCACAGAGCGTTATGTTGATGATTAGTAGAGTCTGGCATCCAAGGGGTAAAGTAGATGGGAAGCCAACCAGGGTATTGCTTACTATAGTATACGAGTATAATAAAGAAGAGCAGGAATTTGTGAGTAAGAGGCCAAAGGCAGGTGCCCCACTAAAAAGCCTTAAGCTCTTGCTCGGTTTGTGAATCTGAGTCAGTTTTCCAATCTGGAATCCAAAGACTGAAAAAGTAACCAGGTCCCCAAAGGGAGAACCCTGCAACACTATGACAAGTATGTTCAGTAATTCTTCTTGCAGTCCTCCCCAAAAAGACCTATGGCCATTTACTTGAGTGACGGTAGACTGGGGAAAAGGGAATACCTAGACATTTTGAGAACTGGGGCAAAACTATAATTGGACAAGGGATTTGAGTTAACATTGCTACCCGAAGACCCTGATAAATGGGAACGTGTAGGGCCCAGGGATAAGAAGAATCCTGGCCAAGTCAAGCTGACAGTGGGTCCACAGAAGCTGCAGGCCCACGTGGGTGTCATTTTTCAAGTCCCAATGTATAATGGGGATAGATAGATGCACTTAGCACATTGGGTACTTGGTTTGCGGGTACCACTCCAGCCGAGGTAGTAAATACAAAAGAGTATTGTATCCCCGGGTCAGGGAAGATGGTAAAGAGCAGGAGTGAGGAACACTATCATTAATCTCCATTAAACTGGCCATGATGGGTCCTGAAAAATGACTCGATCACTGCAAGTTCAGCCAAGCAGTAGTGCCAATTTGCAGCTGCTGCACTAACATAGTATCTTTACTACAGCCATTTAACTTGGCTTCAGATACACGTGTCCAATCATTTGGCAAATGCATTTTCCCTATCTGAATCAGGAACGAGGATCAGAAATAGTTCACGTTTCAACAGAACAGACAGCAATATACTGTATTTCCCCATGTATAAGATGCACCCTTTTTCGAAAAATTTGGGGTCTAAAAACTGGGTGCATCTTATACAGTGGTTGTAGATCACTGTCAAGTCATTTAAGAAGTGTAGCATTTCAAATGCCATAGATGGAACTGAGGACGAGGCAATATAGGAAGACAGTGATTCGTCATCAGACACAGATGAGGACAAGCTAATGGTTGGGAGTTTTGACAGTGATGAGTTGTATGAATTTTATGATGAATAAAACTTGAGTTCAGTAACTTTATGTAATACATTTTTTTTTCAAATTTCGGGCCTCAAAAATAAGATGCATCTTGTACATGGGAGCATCTTACACATGGGGAAATAGCGTACATTTATAGTTTGATTCCAGGGCTGAGATCTGGACCCTCTGAATTCTACAGAATGTCACCTTGATTCATTATTGATAACATCAAGCTGATTGGGCACGATAAGTAAGAGGTGGCTAGCCAACTGGGGGCCTTGGTCAGACACATGTTCTAGAAGGTAGAAGATAAATCCTTCAAAGATTCAGTTTTTAGGAATCTAGTGGTCAGGGACATGCTAGGACCTCTCCTTTAAAGTAAAAAACAAATTGCTGCATCTTACAATCTCTCTACAAAGAAATTTATCCTTCTTTGTAGATTTCTTTGGATTCTAGAGGCCACATATTTCATACCTGTGAAAACTGCTCCAGCCCACATTCCAGGTGACATAGAATCCATTCAGCTTTGACTTGGGCTGAGAGCATGAATGAACTTTGTAGTAGCTCCAAGTTGAAATGCAAGCAACCCTGCAGCTTGCGGTCATATGTTCAGTTGTTGAAGGCTGTCAGTGGTGGAAAAAGATGAAATGTGTAGTTTATTGCAAACCTCCATGGGAGAACCCCAACACAGGCCCCTGGAGTTCTGGAACAAGGTCATGACAGCTGCAAAAAAGGACAGCACACCTCCTGAAAATCAGCTCCTCGTGTGCAACTAAGCCCTGTAATAGGAAATTTGACTAAGACACAAGTGACCAGGTGTCCAGAAATTCCCATTATGAGCTGGGCCATTTTGGACCCACCAAGTCATAAAGTCAGGTGGGCCCAGTAGCAACCTATCATAAGATGGAAATGGGGACTGACAATGAGTAAGCCACCTGACCAGGTAGCCCAGGCTCCATGTCACCTTATATAGTTGCATCAGTACTCCCATCTGCAACCCAGATCACACATATAGCTCTGTGTGTGTGTGTGTGTGTGTGTGTGTGTGTGTGTGTGTGTGTGTGTGTGTGTGTGTGTGTGTGTGGAGGGAAAAGCTTGGTGTATGGATGGATCAGCCTGGTGTGTGTGCACGCAAGCCTAATGCAGGTGGTGGCTGTATTCCAGTCTCACTCAGGGGTGGCCTTGAAAGACATTGATAAGGAAACATCTTCCCAATGCGTTGACCTTTGGGCAATATATCTTGTCATGCACATTGCATCAAAAGAGAAATGTTCTGCGGTTAGAACCTGTATAAACTCATATGCAGTGAACAAGAGCATGGAAAGAAAAAGCTTGGAAAATGAGTGACAAGGAAGCCTAGAGTAGAGACGTGGATAGACAGATGGGAATGGACACAAAGTGCGAAGATCTTTGTATAATACGTGCATGTGGGTGCAGTGGCCACAGAAGCAGGGGTGGAGGTTATGCATGGGCCTCACAGCATGAACTCCCATTTAGAAAGGCTGACTTAGTTACCATTGCCTTTGAATGTTCAACCTGCCAATAACAGAGACCAAAGCTAAGCCCTCAGCATGTCACCGTTCCTCAGGGAGGCCACTTGTCACCTTGTGACAAAATGACTACCTTGGACCACTTTCATCCTGGAAGGGCCAGTGGTTCCTTCTCACAAGAATAGACCTGTATTCTGGATATGGGTATGCCTTTCATGCCAAGTCTTAGCCAGCATCACTAAAGAGAGGTTTGCATAGGTATAGAATTCCATGCAAAACAGCATCTGACTAGGGAACCCACTTTTTAAAGTGGGGGATGTGAATGTGGACCCAGGACTATAGCAGGATCTACTGGTTGGAGCACAAATAGTATGATAGATACAGAAGATGCCAGCTCAATGTTTCTTACTGCTTCAGAATCTTCATTCTTGGATATCTGGGTTGACTTTCACAAAATGGGATGCTCATGCAGCCTGTCAGGTTTTCATTCTTAAAAGCAGATTTAAAAAATAAAAAACCTGATGTAGTATTTCTAAAACTTTTCATATTTATTAATATCATGGTAATAATCATTTAAACAGCAAGCTGCAAGCATCAGTTTAAACTATAGCATGAATGCTCTAGAACCTGTCATTTTAAACAGTGAATATTATTTTCTTCTTTTTGTATTGGCCTCACTCACTCTAGACACTGGGCTTGGGCTAAACTAATAAATATGGCTTAATTATGAGAAAAATTGCATTGGCTCTTTGAAAAACTACATTGAGTGACACTTATTAATGTTTATTAACCAACCAGCAAGCTTTTCTAAATCTCAGATCTCAATCATAAAAGATGTTCATCTCTAAAATTTAAACAAGGACTCAAAAGATATTTTCTGAAAGCAACTTTAGTATCTACCTCTAGCCAAGGAGTTCGTACTAGCTAATTCTAAGTAGAACAGCATAACCCAAATTGGCCTTATTCTAAATCCTTCCTGGCACATTAGCAATAAAGTTGGATAAAGAGGGTGGGTGGCAGACATACTTATTCCTTATTCACCAAGTAGCACCAAGGAATTCCTCTAGAACAGGGGTTGGCAAACTGCGGCTCGTGAGTCACATGCAGCTCTTTGGGTACGTACATGTGGCTCTGAAGTAAAATTGAAAATGAAAATAAAACTATCATAGTTTCATTTATAACATTTTTAAAGGACATTATTCACATAATGGTGATTTCATTTGTTTCATAGGTCTCGCAAAACTTCAAGGGACAGGATTGGCTCTTCCATCTCAAAAGTTTGCCGACCTCTGCTCTAGAAGAATTTCACTGGTCAGCCAGAAGCAGTTCTAATTAAAGCTTACTATAGACAATAAGAGGAGGGTTTTAGGGCTTTGTCACTTTTCAAGGGCACTCAGCTGAAACAAATGTCCATACATTGTTTAGGATAAATAATATATATACCTTCTCTTGCAGAGGGGAACTCTCACTCACCAATGATTAAAAAATGGCTTGGAAGACGACGTGCACGGCTCATGCAAATCTGTAATGTATTGAACTCAAGTGCCTAGATTTGTATGCCTAATTGGGAAGAACGCTATCTTGGTAGCACTAACCAAAAATAATATATCAGGCCCAAGATCAGTAATGTCTTTGAGTGCTCAGATGTGACAAGCCATAAAACCAGAAAAAAAATATTCTTTTTTATATAACTCCAATGGAGAACAATTTGGCAATATCTATCAAAATTACAAACACTTTGTTTGACCTTTTGATCCAGCAATCCCACTTCTGGGAATGTACTCTACAAATTTATTTCAAACACGTAAAAGCACATATGCTTTTTACTGCAGCAAATTAAAAACAGTAAAAATAGGAGAGGGATATGGGAGAGAGGGAAAGAAGGAGGGGGGGAGAGGGGGAGAGGGGGAGAGAGGGAGAGAGGGAGAGAGAGAGGGAGGATGAGAACTGAAATGTCTATCAACAGGTATTGGTTAATAAGTTATAAATTACATCTGTATTACACAGTAAACAAAGGTCAAGGTGATTCCTTACATACTGCCATAGAGAGATTTCCAAAATACATTTAAGTGAAAAAAAAGCAAGGTGCATGATAGTCTATAATATACTAACTTGGCTATTTTTAAAAGGGGAACAATAAAAAGATACATTCTCATTTACTATTATTTGTTTAAACTCTGGAAACACACAAGAAACTAATAAAAGATGTAGTACAAGGGTTAGAAAGGGATTTTCTAATGTATACCTTCTTTATATTGTTTGATTTTTGAATCATGTTTTCTGTTTAAAATTAAATTTAAATTTTTAAAGACTTCTTTTTGTAAACAAATTGAGATTTAAATCAAACACAAATTTAACACAACTGAAGCAATTCATAATGTCCTAGTTGTATTCTCTAATAGTGGAGTAAAGGTTACACCTGCCCTCAAATGCATCAGACATATCGGAAAACATTTTTCCTCTTTGGTCTGTATTCTTTAATGTTTGCTTCCTCTTATTCCTATTCCTATTTAACACCTTAACTGTATTATTTACAGTAACTAAGAAGCATTCAAGGATGAAGTCTGTGAAAGACTCAACTGTGAAAGAACTGAAATTGCATTATAATATTCTTGGCAGATCTAGAACTTGCAGACCATAATAGATAACCTGTCTTCTCTATTTTGTAAACAGTGTTTATATTCTTCACAAGGCCCTCTCTTGAAAATCAAGGAGAGCCAATAGTAGCAACAGCTTCATCGTTTCCCATAATAAAATCTTTGATACAGCTTCTATTAGATTGTAAACATATTTTTTTTCATCTATAAATACCAATTTTAAGTTCACTTGAACACACTGGACTCCTTCCTTGATAACAGTCTAAGAACTGAGTGAACTCGCTTACCTTTGACGTTTATTGAAACAAAGTTTTAAGGCTCTAAAATGCTTTCGGGTTAAAAGCCAAACTATCAGTTTATTTGGCTCGTCAATAGCACCCATCACACGTGTCCAATATGGCATACTATTTCAGAGGAACAGAAGGATAATAGATATATACAAGCCCCAATTTCACCGTTCTGGAAATGGCACGAGGACAAATTCCAATTTGGATTTAGAGCCATCAACCACATCAGTGATTCTGTTATAGAGCAAATCAATTTAGTAAATGGATATTGAGGAGCATCTCATTTTAATGAACCATAAAGACTAACAATAAAGGTGTGTTCTGTGGAGGGCTATGGGGAACTTTAGCAGCAAGTACAAAATAGAATAGCTGTCAAGCACATGGGTTCCACAGCCAAATTAGAGCAAACAGTTATTAGCAATTCTTATTTTACCTATTTAAAGAGAACTATTTCCTTTGTTTATTCTAGTTTAGTCTATATTGCTTAGGCCCAATTATTATTTAGTCACTGTTTTAGTGTTTTGAAATAAAGTTGTAAAACGCCACTGACTCGGCAGAATAATGCTAAACCCCAATGTTGTGCTGTTTTCTTTAGTTCATTGAGGTGAGAGGCTAGCATAAGAATATGTTCCTCTATTATATTCATATTTGCCTATATATATGTATTTGAACATTTTAATAAATCAGTTTTAAAAAAAAAACAACCTAAACATTTCTAGTGTTACTCTCAAATTTTTGAAGGAATCATAAATTCATTATATTTCAAGGACATACATTATGGTATTTTTCTTTTCATGGATTCACTCAACTCCTAAATCTTAGTTACATGAAAATGTAACTAAGTAGATGAAATGACTGATGTTAAAATCTATAATGACAGGTATATGTTTTAAAAGTTATCTGGCTAGGGTGGCCAGATGGCTCAGTTGGTTAGAGCGCATGCTCTTAACAAGGTTGCTGCATGGGATGGTGGACTGCGCG